ATTCATACTATCATATAGTGTATTATCCAAAAATCACACCGAATCTCTAAACATTAATAAAAATAAACCAACAGTCAGTGTAACTATTTCCGAGAATTTCATTTTTTCATGCGAAAGCGATTTTGGGGGAATGGTGGTCACGGCACGTTTCATTGTATGATTTTCATGATTTTTTCCTACTGCGTTTTTAAAACTGCCAGGAAAATCAAAAAAATTACCCCTCTAAACTAAAGTGCCATTATTGTGTTCAATTTCAAGGGGTTCATAAAACTTTTGAAGTACTTTTACTGACCCCGGAAAAAAAATGTTTTAGTAGAAAAAACACATTGCACGCATAAACCAATATAGCTCCCTCGGTCTGCTAAAAATCTAAACAATTTAAAATGCATAAACAGATAAATTATGTTTAAATAATTTATAAACGTAACAAACATATATTATGAATTATTTGTGTCACTAAAAAAAATGTACAAAGTTGTAAATAGTTAATTTTTAAATGCGTGTGTTCGAGTGGTTTTTTTTTAAACGATATTTTTGTTTAAATGACCTAACAATACATCGTGTATTGAGTCATTGCAGAGGTTAATTTAATTAAAAGTTGCAATACGAATTCACTAGTTTACATAGCACGTCCAAGTGAGTTCGTACATTATGTGGTGATATCTACACGATCGTTTTTCGTTTAGCGTCGCTGAGTGTTCAATACAAGGTAGATGGGGTAAGAAGCGTAGAATGGTGATACTTTATTTAATAATTCAATGAGAATTATCGAAATTTGTTTGAAAACATAATTTTCCGACTGCGCTGCGTGAGCATCAGACTCCGCAGGAGACCGTTGGCATCTGTTGTCTAGCGTTATTCGGACAGTTTAAATCTAAAAAGTTATAATGGGAAAACTTTTCAACGCATATTTCAAACGTGTAAGGTCTGAATTTAATATAAAAATCCCGTGTAAACATTTTGAATATAAATTATTAGAGAATTTTTAGGTCATAACATTGGTTTTTCACTCAATGTATTTTTTTTTTTTTTAAACTCATATTATTAATTATAATTTTGGCTGTTGTAGCCAAGAAAGTGATATTATTTTAATTACGTAGTATTCATAACATAATAATCAAGTACTGTTTTAGTCGAAATTGTATAGAAACACGAATCGTTGCATTACGCTGCTTTCAGCATAATACATTGTTATAAATGTTCACCAAAATATAACTTTTTTTGAAAATGATTTTTCTTATAATAATTATTACTTTGTTTTTGTCATTACATTATCCTGTTAAGGAATTATAAAAAAAATGTTTCAATTTCGTTTATTAATTACCAGCAACAACCTTTTGAGCGTACCGAAATATAATGTGATAAATGGAACAACCGGGAAACTTGGGACATTTAAACGTGTTTAATATTATTGTCGTCGTTGTTGTTGATATTAAAACAAATTAAAACTTAAACTCGCACTCTGGACGAAATTCCCACAAGGATATAGCTGTGAACAACAAATGTAATAATAATAATAATAGTACGAAATAATATTCATTGTTTTTATTATTTCTATTATCATTATTATTATCATTGTTACAAAATTTAATTTGTATTATATATTACGGTCGTATTGCGTTAATTATTTAATAAGCATTGATAGTATGATATTATTATCATATACGCCTTAATATTAAAATATGTCACAAAAAAGGATTTGTAAATTATACGCGAGACCAAAACTGACTGCTTTGCCACTTAATTTAATCATTAATGAAGTCATGGGTAAAATGGAATTGCGCGGACGCTAAAGAAAATCTTAACCTTCGTATACAACTTGAGTACGTGCGGTTGGTGATATCGATCCAGATCAAATATGCATAGGCAAAGGTTTTTCAGTTACATTTAATAAATAATAGGTTAAGTTAAGGCCTTGTATATACGTATCCAAAACTATAGTTAAAATTTAAAAAATAATGAATAATATATAGTTTGCATAATCACGCAGCTCTGCGAGACAATGATTTTAAATAAATAAATATTATATTTTTGGAGTCAGTGGATGCAAAATAAAATATAAATAGATGAATGTTAGTTAACGAAACGGTTAGTTATTTCAACTTATTTGAGAAAAAACATTTTAAGATGCACAATGGCTATATTGTGTGACCTCGGTAGTGGTTAAAAAACAAATTCATTTTTTTTTTTTTTACCAAGTTAATAGTTAATAGTTTTTCCATATTAACATTCACAGTTAAATATTTTATTATTACTCACTATACTGCGATTCATTATACCCGCAAGAGTATAAATTATTTTCAACCAAGTCGGGTTTATTTTTTTTTTCATTGAGTCGTCCTAACTCTTTGCGTTTAGGTGTCGCGCGAATAACGTTACACACGACACGGCAGCGGCGGGAAACTCGACAAGAATATTAATATTATTATAAGCCGTCTCAGAAATAAAAAAAAATGCCACTCCAACCCTTTTGTGTATAATTAAAACGGTCGTTTGGGACGCGCACACTGCCGCCAGTGTAATGCATATAACATGCCTATATTATATACACCAAAATCGTCGGTTTTTTTTTCGGCGTTTATAATATTATTATCTCGCCAAACGAACGCGCGAACGAACCGCCATTACGGCGGTCTGCGATTCCGATCGATTTCGCCGGCTCCCTCATTATTATTATTGCTTTCCGGTCGTTATATATATATTTTTTGGCGCGGCCGTTGCTCGCGTGTGTGTCGTGTTTATACTGCTGAACCCGATTATTATTGCGATCCGTAAAATATTATTATATATTGTTTTCTTTCGGTCAGTTCTCGCCGTGTGGCGCTGGCACTTTCGCCGGCCATAATACACAACAACAACGATAATATCTAATACACAATACGTAATGTCCGAATATTATCACTGATCGACCGGCCGAGACCTCCGAGTGGGCTTCCACTCCACCAGTGAACATTATTATTAAATGTCGTACATCGAAGCAGCCGAGGCCGAGGCGTCCGGAGTGCTGAGCTGTTCGTTTTGTAATAACGATGTGACGATTTAGTCGCTCTCCAGGAAGAATATTTTCCTGCAGATGGGCCTAAGCTCGACTACTATTACTGCGTGTACGCGATTGGGATGATCGGATGACGATTAGTTGGGGGGACAGGAGGCTTCCGTTGCCTCGAATTGCTGATTTTGAAATACTGACAAATTATTATTTTTTTTTAGAAATATTTATTATACCGATTGTAATTCTTCACTGTAACTCCATTCACTTATTTCCTACAGTTGATATTAAACATTGTAATTTATAATATTATCGTTTTATCATACAATTAATATATGTCCTATCCATAGTTAAACATCAGAAATTTATCTGACCACCATTACAATTTATTATGATTGTTTAATTATAGAATTTTCTGAGTTTATTATTCAAGGAGAAAATGTAATTTTTTTAATATAACTGCCATTTTCTTTAAACATACATCTTACCAATAATAAGTTAATTTTATTTAAAATATATACTGTAAAGTTGATAATTTTTTTTCAGCATACCTAATTGGGTGGTTATTTTTTGTTGCAAAAAAACCAATATTTTATTAGTTTCTCACGTCAAAAACGCGCCACCGCGTGAGTAAAATAATAATAGCAGAGTGTAAGAATAACGTAAATACATAAAAAAAAAAACACAATCATTTTAAGCGTTTATTCCACGAATAGTGCTTGCGACTTGACAAAAAATATAATTTTCCTTTACGTATACCATTGGTAATATTATAATTATTGTTTTCGTATCGCAATAAAATACTATCGAATTGTCAAAATATAAAAAGTCGTAATCTTTATAAAATAGAATGGCTAATTTATTAGAAAATCTGGTGCTTATTGATACCTTCATTATGCAGCCTATAAAAAAAAAATAATGATTTTCTTGTCTTTATTCGTCAGTTCGGTAATACGACAGTCACTGATGGGCAGACAAACTCTATGAATGAAGTTCATGATGATCCCATGATCTGCATTGTTTGACTTTGCTCTTATTTATTTTTTAGAATAGATTAAACCTTACAATTGAAATGCATGATGATCAGCTTACCAGTTCAATTAATGATATTAAACTTTGCACACTTATAATCAATTATATTACTTTTAAATTACGGATACAATAATAATTAACTCCATAAATGCCTTATTGCCGACTAATCGTAATCATTTTTTGTCTAACTCTGTTTTTTATTAGTTTATTTTATTACGTTTATTATAGTTATTAGTAGAATACTCAATGTCTAAGAACATGCGTTTAAATGTGAAATAGTCAGAATGTATTTTATGGAACCCATTCTAACTCGGTCGTTTACACCATTTAAAACAATATACACTATACAGTCTTGCTTTTTATAATACCTTATCGTACAATTATATGGGATTAGTAGTTATCGGTGAATGAACTTGATTTGAAATTAGGTACTCTTAGCAATAAATAGTATAGTTAATGTTCATTGTAAAAACAAATAACTAAATAGTTATTATATAATTTACAAAAAATGTGTGTCATTGTATTATACTACACAATATTCTTAAGTTACAGCTTAATTAAATGACTCTTATGTGAACTCTACTACTGTCCTTATTATGTGCTTTAATAATCATATTATATTATAACAATTATATATTATGGACTGCACTAGCGACGAAAACCGTTTTCGATACATAATATAATAGTTTTTGATTTCCGTCGTTCATTGTTCGAACCGCATTGTCCAGTATAATTTAATTTTTTAAACGAGGACATACGTCATTATTATTATTATTATTATTGTTCGGATTATTATTATTACTACCCGGGTAAGCGCACCGCGTCTCGGAAACTTAAAGTGTTTAAAATAATAATAATTCTTCGTGTGAATGTACACAGTACAAATAATATTATGAAAATATATTACTGTTATTTTTATTATTATCGTTATAATTATTACTATTATTACTTTTATTTATTTCCGTTTCGTCCGTTGCAGGCGAAAAGCCGTACAAATGCGAGTGGATCGGCTGCGGCTGGAGCTTTGCCCGGTCGGACGAGCTGACCCGCCATTACCGCAAGCACACTGGCGCCAAACCATTCAAGTGTCGCCACTGCGAGCGATGTTTCTCCAGGTCCGACCATTTGGCGCTGCACAAGAAGCGGCACTTCACTTAAACGCAAGCACACGACGCACGAACACACACACCCACACACAACCAGAGAGAAACGCGCAAAAAAAACATACACACACACACATTACCGTTTTACCACCCTAACCACTACCTCCGCTACAACTACCCTCTGACGATATTATGTTAGAACTCGTTAAAATTAAATACCCCTCATATACCCACCCACACGTTCGTACACAAGCACAGACAGATGGACGCGCATAGATAAAGTTTCCGGAAAAACGGTGGTATTTATTTCATTATTATTGTAATTTATTATAATTAATATTATTATTATTATTCTTAAAGATTTATATATTTTACGTTTATACATAATATTTTGTTACCAGTCATACCCGTGCATTTGTGCATGTATATATATATATATATATATATAAATATTTATATATATATATATACGTACAATACTCGTGTATACATTTTATAATAATATGATGTATAAAATAATTATTTCAATACCAAAAGTATAATTAATGCATTAAAATAATTTTTAAATATATTATTATGAAAATTGATAAAAAAAAAAAAAAAATGATAACTATTAAGATATGAATTTTTTTTTTTTTAAATTAAAAATAACATCATAAACATACAATAATATAGTTATCGTCGGGGACGATCATATTAATTGTATTGTAATACAGTTATAGTAATAATATTTTAACGAGTTTTCAGTTTCTTATCAATATCATCATTATATTATTATTATTAATATTATTACATTAACTGTTACAGTAATATAACATAATATTAACGGCCATTATCGCGTATGATAAATGTGTAAAATCATTGTGTAAATATAATAATATGTATAATGACTCCAGAGCCTAATGATCAAAATCGTTAAAAATCTCAGGTGTTGCCATTCACTGGTCGCGCCTGCCAGGTAAATTGTTATAAAAAAGTGTAAATTGAGTCTATCTTGGTCACAACATTTTTAAAATGTCAAGTTAATATGAAATATAACTGACCACTCGTCGACGCGCACATATTTTTTTTGTTGCATACCAGGCCATGCATAGGAACTCAGAGGAACTATGTTATATGAATAATAATCGACGACTTGGATGGGGCGGATACGAAACTTAAACCTTAAAAGATTTTTTTTTATAATCGTAGGCCTACGGTCTTAGAAGAGTTTGTAATTTGTTCGGAAACAGAAAAAATAAATTTTTGTAAATAGCATAATATTATATAATTGCCTAAATGATAATTATTAAAATAATTATAGTAGTCTTTGTAAATAAAATTAAACAATTTATTATAAATAATTAGCATGAAAAAAATTATTATAAGTAAATTTATTACTATCGTTTTTAATATTATTATAATGATTATATTATATATTAGGCGAATGTATTTTGATCCAATGAGACATTTATAGAACTGATTTACTAGATCCGATAGTCAATTTTTTTCCTTGTATAGGTATTATAGTTATTATAGGACTATTTATATAATAATAATAATGTGTATATCGTTCATTCATTATAATAATAATAACGGTCGTGCTCTTGCCGCCCGGTGCGATGTTTCTTAGGTTTTTAGTCAATCCAAACAACACATAATAAATATTTTGAACTATTACATAATAATATTATTATTATCATTATTATATACTGTATCTACGCCATTTCAAACATCATTGTATTTCCATAACTTTGTGATTATCGTGTTTCATCGACCAATAATAATTCGTATATAATAATATTATATATTATTATGATGTGATTATTTTAATATTATTTCATTATATTCTTGTATATTCTATTATTCTATTACTATATTGACATTTTTCGTTTTAATTTAATTTGAAAAAAAAAACAAAAAAAAGCAAAAAAAAAAACTATCATTATTATATTTATTATTACATAAAAAAAAATTATACGATTGAAAACAACGTCAGGGAGACGATTTCATTATTTACTTCCGCCATCTTCCTCTTTACCAAAAAGTATAACCTGAATCAAAAATCTCCGCGCTGCTCTGATCGACTGTCCCTGCTCGCGCGCGGGCGAGCCACTGCCAGACGAAATAATACTATTAATAAGGATAAGACGAACAAAATTGCCTTCGCAGTTAATTTATGTCCAATCATTTATATAATAAAATCTCGATTTCCGAGTAATAATACTTAATAATATTTCATAACAACGACACATCAACGGTGACATATTAAAAACAGAAATAACAATAATAATATAGTAAACAATTTTTAAAAATTTAAGCATTTTAGATAATTATAATATAATAAACTGAATACGTGTTTCTTAGCGCAAAGAGAAAGAAACGGGGCCAGTAAATTAAAAAAAAAAATATATACAAAAACATTTTTTTTAAAAATGACGAAAAAAAATGTGGCGTTATTGTTTTCGTTTTTATTATTGGTTTAATTATTATTATTTGTTCTCGATATTATATTTTATAATTAAAACTTGTTTATTTATTTGATAGTTTGCAAATATTCTATTATAATAATTTATTGTTTCATTTTTTTTTTAAACTTAAATCTTTTGTTTATTTATTTATTTATTTATTGTATTTTGTTTTTGTTCGTACCACATACGTTTAATATAATATAATATTATTATTATTATTACTATTATCATTATAATACATCATGTGTTGGTATTTGCATAATATTATAATACTTGAAACTTATTATTGTTATATTTATAAATGAAAAAAAAATTATCTACCATTATATTATGATTATGATTATTATTTGTATGATTATTTTATTATTGTTTATCGCCTGTAGACAGACCGCACCTTACACCTTAGGGCCAGATATTTGTTGCGTATGATATTAAGTATGGAACCATTGTGTTTTTATTTTTTGTTTAATTATTTTTTTCGTTATGATTGTTGTTAGACTATTGTGTGTTTTACTGCTATATATTATTATTATTATTATCATCATTTTTATTATTAGGCTAATCCTTAGAAGTATAAGTACCATTTAGTTAATTATTGCAATTGTTTTGTTTCATTAAAAAAAAAAATTGTATAAGTCTTTCTTAATATTAATAATCGTCATTGATATTATCATAATATTATTGTATTACGTAGTAGTATAAAATATAAATACTTAAAATACTGTCCCCGAACCAAATTCTATCCTTTATATTTCGCCCGCATACTGTATTCAAAAACTCACTATGTCATCCGCAAATCCCTCCGGCAGCGATTTTTGGTGTACCTACCTAACAAATAAAATTCGTGTTTGAAAATCAAACCATGTCGAATAGTCATCGTCGCACAACTTTCTTATCTTTTCTTTTTATACAAATATTTCTATTGAATTTTCCTAGAAAAATTTCCATTGCATTTTTTATCGTATGATATCATAACATAAAATAATAATATTATTATAATATTATCATATCGTTCTCAAGTCAACGCGATGACTCGCGCCACGCCGTTCTTTTTACATTTCATTAAGATAATATTATAATACATCTCGTCTAGTAGACGGATTTTTTTGGGCACGCGATCTCATCGGGAGACTATGATTTTTTGACGATCCGAACGATAATGATAATAATAATACAACGTTGCGATGAAGAAAAACACGAAAAAACGTTAATTTTGTGATCGCCGGGTGAAAGATTCTGAACAGGTCTCTTGCAATAAGAGATGTTTCGATTTGTTTCGTTGATTTTTCACCTCCTCCTCCGTTTTGAACCCCATAATTCGTACAAAATATAAGAGTATTATTAGTATTTTAAGGGAAAAAAATGTTTTAACATACCTATATCGCATATTATATTTATATACTTTATATACACGTTACATTGTATATTATGCCTTATAACGCAAATATATATTTACATTATTATAATAACAATTATAATAATATTATTATTATTATGATATGGCGTGTACGATGTTTGGCGCATGCGTTGTATTATACATAATAATATTATATAACATCTATTTGTTATTCGTTCCGAAATAATATATAACGTCTGTCGTGTTATTATTACGATGACGATGTGTATATTATTATTATTATTATTATTGTTTTACATCTAAAATATTACAATATAAATTATTATATCTGTATACATATGTGTATTATAAATATTTATAAATACATAGCATAAAATTATTATTATTATTATTATTATTATTATTATTATTATTATTATAATTATTATTATCATTATACTCGTTTAATTATTTTTCCTGGCTTAAACTTTGTACATTTTAAGATTTTATTAATTTTATTGTGACGAGAAAATCGTGTTGGATTCGATCGTCGTCAAACTATACATATATATACAAATAAAAACAAAAAAAAAATATTGAACTTTAAAAAGTAATTCTTTTTTTATTTATTTTACAGCGTTTTCCTTTCCTTGACCTATCCTGTTGTTAATAATTTTCGCGTCAAGCGATAGCGCCACGCATATGCTTCGGTTTCAGATAACCTCTGTACTCCAGAAGATGTCAATGTGACAGAGACTTTATATTGAAAAAATTACTGAACACAAAGATGGCGGTAAAATCAAATTTTTTAAGACTTGAGTTTTTATTTATATTTAAATTTATTTTCAGTCGAGTCTCGATAATTCGAGTCTCGAGGGGAATAATAATATCAGTTTATGTATTTTTTATGTTATACACTTATACACCTTAAACACAACTTCAAATCAATTCAAGGGACAAGACAAAAATTCTAGGAATCGAGGCTTGACTGTATTATAAAATATTAAATTTTAGAATATCGAAAGATCGCTCAAAATTGATCTGCCACATAACATAACATAAAATATTAAACGCAGTACGCAGGAATGACAAAATCCATTTGACGTCGGGTATGTTGTTTTTGCTCATATTTTTATCGTTGTCATCATTGTGACACGTGCCTTTGAGTATTTTGCAAAAAATCTTGCCTTCTCTCACTAAACATTTACAAAAATGTGTTCCGTGTACAAAAGTGAGGTGAACTGATAGCAGGCAGCTAATCAATCAAATTATTTTTTTGTCAGAATACAGTATACTGGCATGAGCAATGTATTTGAAGAAAGTATCTAGATTTT